TAGTTTCATTTTAAAATAAATTAACAAAAAACAACATGTTACTATATGAATAGTACAATTACATCAAATTGTATCAAGTTATAAAGTTTCTAATATAATATTATGTACAAATACAAAATTATTATTAAACATTTATATTATAAAATAATATATTCTACTCTATATGTAAATTACAAAACATAAAAATATATATAGAATTTTTGTATAAAACCAGTGATTTATGAATTAATGTTGAACACAACTTAAATCAAACACCAGCACGGGGGTGCGGATCAGGTTCAAGTTATTTTTAAAAAAAGGAGAAAATGGCAAGCAGGCTTTGATAAGCAGGTTTCAGTTAATGTAGTTAATTATCGTGACGCAACGGTTTCAAAATAAGAAGAAACAATGGATTTGATTTGCCTTGTTGTTCTTCTGATCTCGAATTTATACGGATCACATTATTGGAACTCAAACGAAGGTTGATAATTCACAAACTCATATGAAAGAAGAGTTTGAAATGAAAGATATCGGAAAGACAAAGTTTTGTCTTTGGCTCTAGATAGTGCATCTACGAGAAATAATATTTTTGCATAAATTAAATTGTACGAAAAGGTTATTGAAACATTTTTATATGGAAAAGACGACTCTTTCGAGTACTCCAATGGTAAATAGATCTCTCGATGTTAAAAGAGATATTATTTTAAAAGATCCTGGTAAGATCTTATAAAAGTAAGCACTTTGGAGATGCTAATGGTAATAAAGCAAATGTAAGCTTATACATCTTGCAAGTTATATTTGATTAAATATACTTTTAGACACTAATGTCTTTGCAAGATATAGCTCATTGCCTATTTATGGAAATTAGAACAACGTCGAGAACATATTCGTCTCTCCAGGGTACGTATTGATTTAGGATTGATTTATCCTTGAAACAATGAGTTTGTTTATAAAGTCGAACACAAACTTTTGCAGATACATGCAATTTATAAAGTCGAACACAAACCGGATATGAGTTTACAATTGGTGAAACCAGGATCTCCTGGCGATCCCAGAAACAAACTCTGGTTGCGACTTCTACGAATCATACATAGATTAATGTGTTTCACGAAGCATGTCGAGAATGTTTGTGGCTTAGGTTAGTGAGCCATCACATACAAGAACCAAGTGGGATAGTTAACACGAGAGAGTTGACAAAAGTATTTGAAGACAATTCGGATTTTTTCACTCAACTCAAAGAAGGTTATATAAAGAGCGACAGAACAAAACACATCCCTCCAAGATTTTTTTTTCGTACATACGAAAGCTCAAGAAAAATCAGGAAGTGGACATAGAGTATGTACGGTCATACGACAATCCCACATATTTGTTTACAAAGGCCTTCCTACTACGACGTTCCGAAAACATCTCTATGGTATCGGAATGCGGCATTTACGTAACCTATGAAAAAAGAAATAGACTATGTCCATCAACTTTAGGGAGAAATTATGTCAGTGTACTATTTTTCTTATTATCATAGTTTTTATCCGAAAAATGTTTTTCTATGATTAGATTTTTGACGAGGCAGTACGTAATACAAAATAGATAAGTAAGATGGAGTGCTAGATAATACTTATCCATTTATGTGATAATGCTTATCTTATAGGTTTTGTCTTTTAGTTTATAGATGTCGGTTTAACCAACTTTGTTCTTCTATAAATAGAAGATGCGGAGAAGACATGAAAAAATATTAAGAGATCACTCTTTTATTTCCTCATACTTACGATTTCTCTTTATCTTTGTAACGCCCCGACCGCTCACGGCTAATGGACCACCCATGCCTCTCTCAGTCTGTAGGCTGCATCTTGTTCCAATGGCCGGTCCGTTAATTTTACAAGGCTCTAGAGTTATGTTTACTGACTCCTAGGTTAGACTTGATTAGCCCATTCTTAATCATTCAATCCGACTCACTTACATATCCAAGGTAACTGACCTCAGCTTCCACTATAAATATCTCCTCATCCACCATGTTCCTCACACCTTCGACGAGCTCCATAAGATTAGTCTGTTCAGCTTTCCACTCACTACAATGGCAAATTCATATATCCTTCTTGCCATTTTGAAACCCGGGAGATGCTCTAACACTGCTGAGGTTCGGTTGCTGAGGTTCTGGGAGGCAGAAATGTGTGGAAAGGCGCTGAGTTGATGAGTATTGACATGCTCTGCATCGATGAGAATGTACGCAACTCTTTCGCAAATCTATAATAATAAATGAGAATCATTTTGAAGTACTTATGCTGTAGTTGTGATGATTATAAAAATAGATACAAACTTTCAGAGTCTATGTTATGTTAAGACCATCGTGTTATTTGGGACGATCTGTGTCTGGAAACGATGATGTTGTGTTAGTGCGATTTTGCTTTTCTCGGTGGAAATAGACAATCAAAGTTTTTTTTTTATTACTGGGGTTCATAGGATCTGTAAAATCATACTCCTTGCTTGTGTATTATTATTTTTTCTTTGAGATATAAGATCGCGACTGTGTTCTTAGAGTTGATTGTTTTTAGTTGATATTATAACACTATTATTATACTTGATTAAAGATTTTGCTTTTCTCCGTAGAAATAGACAATCAAAGTTTTTTATTTGTTATTGGGGTTCATAGGATCTGTAAAATCATACTCCTTGCTTGTCTATCTATTATTTTGTGTTGTTTGAGATCTAAGATTGCGACTTTGTTTCGAGAGTTGATTGTTTTTAGGGAAATTGCCAGAAATAACACTTTCAAGATACCACTTTTCAATTTTACACTAACCAACTTTACCATTAAAATTTTAATACTCAAAATACTATTAGAATTTAGGGTTTTGGGTTTTGGGTTTAGGATTGATAGTTTAGGGTTTAGTGTTGATTTGTTAGGGTTTAGGGTTTACTTTTTAGGGTTTAGAGTTTAGGGTTTAAGGTTTAGAATTGATATTTTAGTGTTTAGGTTTGATTTTTAGGGTTTAGAGTTTACTTTTTAGGGTCTAGAGTTTAGAATTGATGTTTTAGGGTTTAGGGTTAATATTTTATTTAATATTTATTTTATGTATATATATAAAGAACAAAGATATAAGAGTCTTTTATCTTTTAATTAATTGTGTATTTTTGAAAATGTTCCTTTGTTGATGGTAAACATGAAAAGTGGTACCACCAAAGTGGTATAATTGAAATTCTCCCTTGTTTTTAGGTGATTTAATTAACATGTTATTATCTTAGACTAAACATTTCTACTTGTCCTTTTCAACAGTCAGTTGACGGTTACCCTGGTGGAGATAAGCCATCTACGTCTGATCCTTCCATTGCTGAGAGTTGATCCTGCTGAGAATGCACGGAAGAAAACACATGTGGAATGAGACAGCTACTGGAACCTGCACAACCACAACTGTTTTTTCAATTACTGCTTTCATGTTTTCCATTTTCTTTTTTATCCTTTTTGTTTTAAGACAATGTTGCGTTTGTTATTGCTATTATTTTACATACATGCTAAGTCTTTTTCATTAAGTAAACATCTCCATTTACATTTTTGGTGTTAACTTTTTTGTTTTAAAGCATAATGTGGTTGTTATTTTTATTACTCCCTCCGTTTCATTTTAATTGTCATTCTACGTTTTTGCATACAAATTAAGAAAACATTTAATTTTACATATTTTCAAGAAAAAAAAACACAATTACCTATACACCTAACCACTTTTCAACCAATAGAAAAATAGAATATTATATAAACTAATAAATTTTATCTCGAAACCCTAAAACGACATTTATTTTGTACGAATTTTTTCCTTCAGAACGACAATTAATTTGAAACGAAGGAGTATTAATGCTTAGTATTTTCATGGAATAAACATCTCCGCTTTGTTTTTTTACTTAAAAATTTTATATCACACTAAACAAGATAGCTTTTATCAAATGGTCAATCCGCCTATGAACAAAATGTAAAACAAGGTAGCTAAAAGACATATCAACGATTACATTTCCGCCTAATATTCTTATGCGAACTAATATATATCACACTGAACAAAGTAGTTTATATTACATATATTTCAAGTTTACAACACGCTGTCTGTTAACTTAGAAATAACTACCAACTAAAAAAAAACTACCAACATTGATGTATAGCTTTGTTTTATGTTCGGATGTCTTTTATCTTAGGCTAACACTTAAAAAACTTTATTAGGCTTTTACGAATGTAGCCCAAAATAAATTTGACAAATTTAGACAGCAAGAATGGTATAAGAAGGCCCGCTATAATCGGGTATACAACCTCCAATACACTACTATAACTAAACCAGTAAATTTAAGTTTGAATAAATGTTTCAAAAAAAACCCTACAAAAATATAATAAGAACTACATCAACTATATAAGGATGTTACATCAACAACCTACTACCAAAACCAAAAATAACATGTCGAAATCCCGTCTCAAGACATAATGTTAAAAAAAACTACTAAACAATACGCATCAAACGAAGGCCCAATACCCGTTGAAATCGTAATTCCTTAGGCACCAAACAATAAAAAAAAATAGGGTAAGAAATTACAATCTTCACAAAAGTAAATGGTGTTGCAATTTATATTATAATTACAAGACAAACATAAGAAAACCCGCGCGTAGCGCGGAAACTTCCCTAGTATATATATAATAGCTATTTGTATAAACATAAATATATCTTACCTAATTTATAAAATATTTATACTTTATACTCATTGTCGTGAAAGCTGGTTTGGCTTCCGACTATTTGGTTAAATTTCGATTCCTCTTAAATGGTTTAAATATCAGCAAATACTATACTGGGCTTTGTAACATAGGACCTTCTTGCCTCTTTTATAATAATGCAAAAAATGTTAAGTAAAAAAAAGAAGAAAAAGAAAAAAAACTAATCTACTCGGCACGCATTTATTTTATAAAAGAAGAGAACGGGAAGCAGTTTTGAGATGAGCAGGTTTCAGTTAATGTCGTTAATAATGGTGACGCAAGTGATATAGAAAATAAGAAGGAAACAATGGAGAAGATGTTGCGTTCCTCTCTTTCGATTCCTCAACTATTTTGCCTCGTTGTTCTTCTGATCTCGAACTTTCACGGATATGTCAAAGCAGGAGGGAAGCGACGGATCTAGACGACGTGGAAGACAACGAAGAAGACGAATCATGGAAAGAGTGGGGGAGTAAAGCAGCGACGCCTGAGTTCGATCCGCCGCCGAATTTCTCCAACATGGGATTCGATCAGCTCCAAGAGGAGATGGCTAAACGGACTTTTGCACCGGTCGTCGGATTCGTCAAGCTCCGGTTAGGCGTCCAACGTACTAAGGTAAATCAAAACGATGAAATCTAACTGGATCTTTACTCCAAATTGATAATTGTGATTTCAATTACAGGATATGGTGGTGGAGATTGCTATGAGATGGACGAAAGTGCTGAGAACAGGTGGGTTAGGAGTGAGATTCATGGCCGTGGATCGGAGCACGGTGATGTTCAATATGCAAAACGGCAAGGAAGTGACTGAGGTAATACTTAAAAGTAAAGTTGTGAGTTTTATTAGTCAGATATGTTGACAACTATAATGGATTTTGAGTTAGTTAAGGGAGTTTGTGCTGAGCCAAGAAGAGGCTTATGAAGTTAAAATAGGGAAGCAAGAGTTTCGAAGACCTGGAGATCCTCCACTTGATGATGTTTTTGACAAACTTAAAGCAAAGCAGAACAAGGATGATGAAGATGGGATTAGTGGTAACAAGAACGATGCTACCAAGGATGAACTATAGGTCACGTAGTTCAACTCTTTAGCTGAATCTTGGTTACAGGTTCTTAACATGTTTGGTTCATAGAAAACAATAAAAAAGGAAACTTGTTTTTATTTAGGATGAATATGCACTCGTTTAACCTTATTGCTCAATGTGGAAAGCTCAATAACCTTATTCTTGCCTGTCAGTGCTTGCTCTCTCTTTCCCTGTGTTGTATCCCCAGTTTCACAGATAAGATTTGTCAGCAAAAAGAACTAGAAAAAATATTATATGTGGTTGGGGGGGGGGGGGAGAGAAGAGACTACTTAGGTATGAGTTCCATTTATCTAATTCAGGGCTCTTTGATGACATTCTTCAGTGTCTTCCACGAAACAGTTCAAATAAACAATCGATAGGGATTGTAAACTAATGGTTACCAAATCATGTAGAGAAAAAGAAACAGTAATTTGTCTTTTTTTTTTATAAAGCATGGACGAGACTTACTGCAGCCCTATTCTGAATTAGCACAGAAAAAAGATAGTTTAAGAATCAAAATTTGGGGGAAAATAAGCTCAAAGTTCTTGGTGAGACTGATCCGACCATGTACCTACACCATAGATCCTTTCTGATGATGGTATTAATACTTAAAAGGCTAATAAGCCCATTAAAGTAAACGGCCCATTACGAGAATTTTGAAACATTTAAACAAGAGAATAAAAAAATATTTTTAAGAGTTTGTTACGTTGTCAGTCCCGCCAAGCAGAGACGGAGAGAAGAATCGGCGGTAGAGAACTACACCGGCGAACTGATCGTCGTCGCCTCCTTCTCTCAGCCACTTCGGGAATATCTTCTCCGTATCTGTAAGTATGTGAATCACGATTTTATCAGCTGTTCACATGCTCGGAACTTGAGTTTCTATGATTCATCGCTTGCTAGCTGCTTATAACTAGTTCGAGTTTATAGATCTACAAGAATCTCAGAAGGAATTGTTCGTTCTTAGATCGTTCTACAAGATTGTGAACTGAAATTCGATTTTATAGATCTTGTTTAGAATCTTGAAGTAGAATCTCAGAATGAATTGCTCGTTTCGTTTTCGATTGAGTTCATTGTTAGCTTAGAGTTGTGAAATTAGCGATCGTGCATCAGAAATTGATGTTTGATTCATCACCTGAATCTCAGATTCGCGAATCATGTATTGTATGTGAATCGTCAGTTGCAATCGAAACAGGCGTTGATTCGTAAACTGAGTTTTAGATTAGCGAATCAATGTATTCGAATTGATTCAGATAGTTAGCTGCGGATTGTTTAACTGATCCTTCTGTTAGATGCTCGATTATACTATTGTGATGATCGGTTCTGTAAATCTCTAGTTGATTGAGATTCTTACTCGATAAACTTTCTTAAAGATGATTATGATCAGTTTACTGAAAAATTCAGGACGACAATGGGCAAAAAGAAACGCAACAAGGAGAAGGGAGGAGATTCTTCATCGAATAACAACGACGCTGCTGCTGCTTCTACATCGGTAAAGATAGCTTCCCTGAATTAATAACTTGGTCTATATTTTGATCTGATCAAACTTGCTTTCAGTGGGAACACAAGCTTAAAAGGATATGAATATTGTCACTAATGTATGGTAATTTCTCTCATGTCATAGGGTCGGAGTAGCAGAAAAACGGAGAGTCAAGCTACCAATCCTTTGACGGTAGGACAAGCAATAATGAGGGAAAACTACCTCTCCTGCTGCCGCCAGTTTTACACCTTACCGGAGTTGATTGAGTTCATGACAACCAGGCACCGTGGCTTAACAGCTGAGATGGTGACAGAGGCTTATAGGAAGATGTTGCAATCCCAAAATGCTGAAATGTATCTTCGACTTGCACAATATCACTCTGCAGTAAGGCAAAGCGAGCGCAAAAAGCGGGAAACAGATGACTCGATGAGCACTACTCCAGCAAGTACGGCTCCTCAGAGCGATGGAGCTAGTTCTTCTTCTTCTTAGAGGTATGTGTGGTGGGATCAACTCGGAAAATTACTTGGGAAATATCAATATTCATCTTTGTAAAATAGAATCCATAAAAAAAATGTAAAAAAAAACTTACATAAATCCAAATTGAATCAAACAAAACCAACATGAGTTTGTGGATAACATAATCTAAAAAAGTAAAGTTACTAGCATTACTTAGTCGAAGAAGAACCTACACTACCACTTGTACCATTATTACTCCTCTCGAGAGATCTTCTCTGTGAAACTCTCTGTGAAACTCTCAGATAAGCTTCACCATTGCGACCGGTTAAAAGTTCCCTGAAAACATTGGTCACAGTGGTCTTTGGCAAACCGTGATGCACCTTCATGTAATTGATCATCTCTGGAAGGCTATAGAAATTCTCACAGCAATAAAAGTAACTATCCTTTATTGTCTTCTCTTCCCTTGTCAGATTCGGCTTTTTCTGATTAACAAAAAAGAAAGAAATAAAATATACATGAGAGAATTTTTCACATAATGATTCTGCCAAGGCAGTTTTATAATTACCTTGGATGTAACTTGTTTGTCACGTTTGGTTGTGGATCTCTCTGGGGTTTTGTCTGACTCAACTTCAGAAGACCGTTCAAACTCTGTTTTAGGGATCTGAGCCTCTTCCTCGTCGTCCTTGTGTTTCTGTGTTGTTGCCATAATAAGATCTCTTCCAAAACTATTCTCTGATTTTTAGGGTTTTGAGAGAGAACGAAAACCTGTGAATCACTTGTACTATATACTACTCTTCCAAGCTAGGCCCACTAATTTATATTTGGGCTTTATAGCTAATTTCAAAAGACGAGACCCATTCGTTTACCGACTGCAGCCGGTACGAATAATTGCGGTTATCTTCATCAATCAATCTCCGGATCCAGTCCAACACGTATCTGTCTCTCCATTAAGTATGAGCGATTCTTCTTCTTAATGATTGCTAGTGATTTCACGTATAGGTTTTTGTAATAGCTCGTTTCGAATTCGATAAGCTTCGCTTAGCTGTGAACAGAGATAGTCTTTGTATGTTCTGATATTGACTCGGACCAAGGAGAAGAGATGAGAAAAGAGCCAAAATCTATTCTATTAAAACAGCAGTGTGACCAATTGATATAGGTTGAGTCCAATTTAAAATATAACTGCATTTAATTGATTATATATACATCATATAATTACCTTGACAAAATAATTTTGTAACTTCCCCTTTTGTTCCAAAATTTTCGGATTCTGTCAAATACGTAACATACGGTTATGAATTAGGTGAATGCTTTCTTTTTTTGTTTTTTGGATCCATCAGATAAATTCAGTTCCAGTTAATACTCTTACTAATAAAATAATTTTGTAACTACTTCTAAGATTTATGCATATTTTGTAAAGTCACCTTTTAATTCCAAAATATTAGTGATCCATATTACAAACTGTAGACTACTCTACGAAGTCTAATAAATGAGAATTATGTCATTTGCAAACAATAATATTGATAGTATACTTTAATAAATATTATTTTCACCACACAAATTAGTGGGAACGAATTATTGTTTTAAACACAGTCTAGATGTTGAATCTGATTACTTTTCGGTCATTGAGTTATTAGATTGACCATGGATAACTATGTGAGTAACTTAATTTATTTTAACATAAAATTAAAATATATCAATATTAAAATAAATAAAAAACATAGTAATTTTTTAAATCTAAATTATTTATTTTTCATTTCACATAAAAATATAATGTAAACAATTTTTATAACAAGTTAGAATTACGACATATAATAAAAAATCAATAATATAAATAGTAATAATTATTAAAATATCTAATTTGAACATTGATATTAAATTTTAAAAACGAAAAATTTAAACAAAATTGAATTATATATCTATCACCTATAAGTTCAACATACAGTCTCTGGTTTCAGCAGTTTTTGCGGGTTATCAAATTTTTAATTGATGGATATTTCTTAAAATCCAAGCCGGATTACATATCTAATCATTAGATTTATAGGTACAACCACATATCTAAATTGGATTTAAGACCTATAATTTAAATACTAAAATATTCTAAATAGACAAAATGCTTACAAATTAACAAAAAAATTGTAAAATTATTAATGAAGTTTCACATCTTAAAATATCCCACACTTTCAAGTGCGGTTCAAAATATAGTTTATGTTATTAAAACATGATCATTCTTATGTTTTATCCGCTTATAAACGACTCCTAATTCTTTTAAGTTGGTGATATTGTAATATTTATCATTAATGAAGTATAAAGTTTAATTATGTGATGAGATTTTGGTTAAAGTCTATCCAGGTTTAGAATTTTAGGAAGTAGTGATTTAAATCTCATTTAGATATTTATAAAGTTTGTTTATGTTCATATTTTTATGGATTTAGTTTGGCTTTGAGTACTCCGTTTAAATCATCTAAAATTCTATAAATTAAAATATACCTTATAATTTTCCAAATTCAAAAATAAAAACAAAATATGTCATATAAATATTATAATATATGAATAAATACCTAAATTTAACATAAAATTACTTCTGTTTAAATCTTTCGTTAAAACCCGAATAAATATTTCAAATATCTCAAGTATTTTAAGCATTTTGGATTATCTCAAGTATATTTAAGCATTTTAGATTGCCACAAAATTATTTGAAATTATGATTATATTTTTGCAGATATATGTAAAAATTAAATTTCTTGGAATAATAAATAAAAATTAAAACAAAAAATATACCCGCCCTTTAAAGGGCGGGTGAAAATCTAGTGTATAAATAAAGACTGTGTTGATTTTTTATTGAAACTATGAACTGTACATAAGTTTGGATCAACAGTGATTTTTTTAAGTAGGATCAATAGTGATTTATAACATATTTTTATGAGAATCCAAATATGTCAGATAAAAATATTTAGATTTACAATTAACTTTTTATTGATCGGCATCTTCATCATCGTATATTTTTTTACAATCAAAAGACAACAACTTTAAATTTAAGTTTCAGGCACTCTAAATTCCATGTACAATATAAATTTTTATAAATTAAAAATAATTATATACCAAATGTGGATATATTTATCTCTAGTATTTATAATTTTCAAATAATGTTTTACACCAAGGGTAAGTAATATCACATAGCTGGATGGGGGACTTTTATTTCTCTTATCGGTTGTCCATAGGAAAATCGAATAAAATTAGTTGGAGTCACTTTATTGAAGTTGGCCAAATTTGTTTGGACTGATTCACTTGTCATGACACATTGTGTAACCTAATGCATTAAGTATGTTGGTCCGCTTTGTTTCAAGATAATGTATGCACAAAATGTTCCAATTAAAGAAATCGTTTGGACAGTGGAGAAGAGAGATTAACAAATTTTTCACAGAAATGTCTTTGTTTTACATAGAGTCGGGGAATTAGGCAAAGAAGAGGACATCAAATACAAACGATGATTCATTTCACACAAGTAGTACATTCACAAATTAAAAGGAAACTAAGAGCATCAAAGCCAGATTCTTAAGAATATCTCGATCAGCTCCTGGACTTGAATGGGATAGCTCTGATGACTATCACGTGGTAAAGAGCAGCAAGTGCGGCACCGATGAATGGTCCAACCCAGAAGACCCACTAGAGAAAAAGAATGAAACAAAGATTTAGTAATCCTGTGATCCAAAATCAATACTTTTGGTGAGAAGAGGAAAACTCACATGGTCGTCCCAAGCGTTGTCCTTGTTGAAGATGATAGCAGCTCCAAGACTTCTTGCTGGGTTGATTCCAGTTCCAGTGATGGGGATGGTTGCTAAGTGGACCAAGAACACAGCGAATCCGATTGGTAGAGGTGCAAGAATCTGTCCAATTTTTTTAAAAAAAAATTAAGCATACTGATCCTAATCCAACATAACACCACAATAGTCCTGTCTTTTTGTAAAACTTACAGGAACATGAGAGTCACGAGCGTTTCTCTTGGCGTCAGTGGCGGAGAAGACGGTGTAAACAAGGACAAAGGTTCCAATAATCTCAGCACCGAGACCACTTCCTTTGGTGTAACCAGGAGCTACGGTGTTGGCTCCACCTCCTAGAGCTTGGTATTGATTTGGTTGGAAACCCTTCACCACACCAGCTCCACAGATAGCTCCTAAGCACTGCATCACTATGTAGTACACAGCTCGTGTAAGCGAAAGCTTCCTGGCCAAGAACAGACCGAACGTGACAGCTGGGTTGATGTGTCCACCTGAGAGACCATAACACAACACAAATCGTATTACAACATATACAAATAAATTACTTATTACACATCAGACCTAGTTACATGTCTCTGTAAGCCCTGATTTGGTTCTTCACTAAACCCTAAGATCTATCACATAAAACCATTAGATCGGAGAGTTTGGAAGGTGGTGGTGACTTACCGGAGATACCAGCGGTGCAGTAGACGAGAGCGAAGATCATACCACCGAAAGCCCAAGCGATACCTTGGATTCCGACAGAAGCACACATGTTCGGTGCCCTCTTCACACCCATGACGGTCAACACAGTGATGTAAAGGAACAGAAACGTGGCGATGAACTCAGCGATACCGGCTCTCCAGAAAGACCAAGAAGCAAGCTCGCCTGGCTCGAACAAGGGAGCAGGTGGTGGCTCCTTGTAGTCCTTGTCGCTCTGAGCTGATGTTCCGATGGGTTGTCTCTCCGGAAACTTGTTAGCTCCGACTCTAACATCTTCTTCCTTGCCTTCCATCTCTCTCTCTTAAGAGTATTTGTTTTTTCTATGTGAGTGGGTAATGTGTTGCAGAGGAGCAGAGAGTGATAGTTTTATAGTGACTAAGCTGGAAGATAATGCTAACAAATGGAGATAAAGTTTAATAAAACACGATGATAATTCATTTGTTAATTCCTTGACAACACATTAATATATAGTTTAACTGCACATAATTAACGTTATCTTCGTTGTTGCTGATAATACTAATTATTGATTTAATTATAAGTTAATTTTTGTTGCCACAGTTTTAAATTCGGCTTGCCAGTTGTTTTGTACTCTCTAATCAAATGATTATACTCTAATAAAATACTATGTTGGTTATGAGTTATGCCAAAAAGAAAATACTGGAAAATCCAATAAAATATTATAAAATAAAAAAGGAGGAAAAAGTTGTGGTCGAGGTAAACCGTTGGTTTTTTTGGACCGTTGGCATATCAGGATAAGCACATGGCCTCACCTTACCTAAAATTCATAGGGACAAGACAACTCATCTTACAAATAATCTATAACGAGTATTCTTATTTTAATCTTGTAACATTTTTCTTCTTAATTTTAAGTATAATCTTACTAATTAGGCAACATGTCAAAGTTGTTGATACTAATTAACCACCCTGAAATTTACTAATTACATATCAAATAGCTTGAAACTATACACGCACACAACAAAGGCCATGCATGCACTACGCATACATACCATCAACGGCACAATTATGAGTGGTTGCGTTTTGAATGAAAGAAAAAGACTGGGGTTGTGTAATATTCGGCTGTAATCCACTATTTGCCAAAAGGGAAGACAACGTTTAAACCAAAAGAAAAAAGGGATTCTCAAACAATCATGGTTGCTTCGTTGCTTTCTTGTCTTTTTAGGTGTGACACTCTGTCCTACACACGTGCTACGTTCTTCTACTTCCTCATATACCAAATATTCGCTTTCTTTAATTACCACAAACTTCATTAACCAACCAAGCTTACATATATATATGTACTATATATCATGATCATATACGAAATTCAAAATTCATGAAAGTTATGTTTTGGGTGACAATTGTTGCGGCCGAACCATTGAGATTCTCGGTAATATAATACAGCGGTGAAGGTCGTAATATGTTTGGACTTTGGCATGAGAACTAAAGAATACATGATTCCAAGCCGTCCAGTCCATAGATGAGACGACATGTGGCATAACCTTACGTATACAAAAACCGACCAAGCACTTGTCACCTTCATTCCAATATTAATCATTTTCTCTATTCACATTTTTTTTAACTAATTTTCTTCTGGATACAATTATTGCATGCCCACCCCATTATTCCCGTTGCGTTACTGTCCCCACCACCTCCACGGCTCCACCTCTCTTGGATTATTTGATTTTTGTTTAGCAAAGCTTTGTTTATTTATTTTTTTTTTTTGAGAAAGCTTTGTTTATTTTTTTTCCACAAACTATTTATAATCAACACAATTTCCACACACAATACTAAATTCGAAGTCATCTTTTTTTTCTCTCCAAATTCGAAGTTTAAAATCATCTTTCATGATACTTCATTTTGAAGGAAAACGTCAAAAATGAGGAAAATTCATCTCCAATTATATTTCATTTTGAAGAAAAAAATGAAGAGATGAACAGTATTCCCTCAAATTTGAAAAACACTATTCACACTCTTATTTTGATGTCAAACTTTTTTATTTATATAATAGTCCTTTACTTTTTTATAATTTTTATTTTCTACAATAAACAAAACATTAACATTTAACATAACTTTTTAACTTTATATCTAATATGTAAATAGAGATTAAACTTCTTAAAATATAAGTACCAATAATTACTTACTAAAATATATTTTATAATTTTATAAATTGTAATATACAAATTATTTCTTCGAACTGCTTTGATTGATTATTTGTGGGAAAAATATAGTAATAGTATTATTTAAGTACAATTCTACTATTATTTTGTATGTTGTTATGTATCTTTATTAACGTAATAAATATTTGTTTTTATAAGTTAAAATTTGGTTAAATTATATAATTTAAAAATAAGTGCATATAATCTAAAATTTTATGAAATAAAAGGTGTTATTTGCAATATATAAAAGTTGAAGAATGAATATAATAATAATTAAAGAAGAAAATTGTTGGGGTCAAAATCGGTACGACGGAATCAACGGCCGAAACTCCCCGCAGAAATATAAAAAGAATCGTTTTATAAAACCCGAAGAATCGTTTTATAAAACTCGAGAATCGTTTTATAAAACTTGAGAATCGTTTTATAAAACTCGAGGATCGTTTTATAAAACTCGAGGATCGTTTTATAAAACCCGAGGATCGTTTTATAAAACTCGAGGATCGTTTTATAAAACTCGAGAATCGTTTTATAAAACTCGAGAATCATTTTATAAAACTCGATAATCGTTTTATAAAACTCGAAGATCGTTTTATAAAACTCGAAGAATCGTTTTATAAAACTCGAAGATCGTTTTATAAAACTCGATAATCGTTTTATAAAACTCGAAGATCGTTTTATAAAACTCGAAGAATCGTTTTATAAAACTCGAAGATCGTTTTATAAAACTCGAGAATCGTTTTATAAAACTCGAAGAATCGTTTTATAAAACTCGAAGATCGTTTTATAAAAATCGAGAATCGTTTTATAAAACTCAAAGAATCGTTTTATAAAACTCGAAGAATCGTTTTATAAAACTCGAAGAATCGTTTTATAAAACTCGAAGAATCGTTTTATAAAACTCGAAGAATCGTTTTATAAAACTCGAAGAATCGTTTTATAAAACTCGAAGAATCGTTTTATATAACTCGAAGATCGTTTTATAAAACTCGAAGATCGTTTTATAAAACTTGAGAATCGTTTTATAAAACTCGAAGAATCATTTTATAAAACTCGAAGACCGTTTTATAAAACTCGAGAATCGTTTTACGAAACCGCGAAAAACCGAAACATCCGTAAAACGCGAACTAGTCGCAACTAGTTCGCCCACCGGCGAACTAAGCCAAGCTGGCTTAGTTCGCCGATGGGCGAACTAGGAGACCCTTGACTAGTTCGCCCACCGGAAAACTAGTCCCACTTGACTAGTTCGCCCACCGGCGAACTAAGCCAGCCGGCTTAGTTCGCCGTTGGACGAACTTGAGACTTCTTGGACGTCCCGAGCCTCGATCTCCCGCATCCCCGATTCGAAACTTACATCTTTCGACACGGTCGCATTCTGAACCACGGCCGAAATGTCTCCCGTTCCATCTCGATCCGACCTATCGTCCGAGTTTTACGATAAAAACTGTAAAACTTCGTTTTCACGACGAAGAACTCGAAAAAATCGTATAAAACGGCAACGGTTAAACGGAACACCGAACATTGCCTAAACTATACGATTTATTCGAGATTTCTCGTTAAAATCGTAAAAAACGCGTTTTTAATAAAAACGTCGAGTAAATCGTAAAAAACGCGTTTTTAATAAAAATGTCGAGTAAATCGTAAAACCTTACGATTAGCTCGAGGAATTTACTAAAAACGGCATCAGATCAGGAAACGATCCCGTACAAAGTTGGAAAACGGATTTATCGCAGAACGGCCCGGAAGGTCCTAAAACGCGATAAAAGCCCATCTCGCGATCTTGACGGAATCTAACCCAAAGATACGATAACGTTTTGACGGTTTACTCGCAGGAGGAAAATAAATTTCAAGCTTGAAGATAAAAGGCAGGTTTGAAGAAAATTAGAAGATTTCCGCGGAAGAAAAGGAAGGATCGAGAAAAATGGAAGATTCCCGATATACTCAAATCCGGGCGAAATGGAAAGACCGAATGGCCAAGGCGAGGAGTATATAAGTAAGAGGTCTAGGGCAGAAGCAAGGGACACGAGTTTTTCAGAGCTTTCACCACCAAACTTAGCATTTAGGCAATTTTCCGTTTTCT